TCCTCAGTGGGCGGGAGAGGATTGCTGGGCCCTGGATTGCGGGCCTCTCCGATGCGGCGGTAGTTGGCATCGAGGGTCAAAGTGGGAGCAGCTGCAGAACACGCTGCTCGCCCTGGGTGCTGGGCCTTGAGAGTGCTTTCCCTGGGCCCTGATCGCAATAGGAGCTTGCGTAAAGCTCCTTTGCGCTGACGTAGTAGAGCTGGGTACCAGGCTGGCACTGCTCGTTTTCGAACAGACCGAAGCAGAGCAGGATGGACAAAAGGGAGAATATGGAGAGACCCTTCGGTGTGTTCGGCCTCCTGGCAGGTCTAGACCAGGATCCGGCGTGACCTAGTCACTCCATACGTGCCTTCTTGGCCAGGAGGGCCTCGAAGCGCTGGAATTGGGAGTCGATCTGGTTGGACAGGTCGTTCTTGATGGTGCCAACTGCTGCTTGCAGGGAATCTCCCTGGGACTTGATCTGGTGCTTGACTTCTGCTAGGTCGCCCTGTTGCTGGGTGACGACGTGCTTGAGGGCTTTGAGGTCATCATCCTGTTGCTGGCTTCGTTGGCTGACTTCGTGAAACCAATTTTCGAAGCGTTTGCCCTGTTCACGCAGCTCGTGGACGCTGGATTCGAGGTGGGTGATTTTGGCAACGTCTGTGCTCTTGGCTACCTCAGAGCGGACGGCCAAGTGCATGTCCGTTTTCAAAGTGGTGCCGAGCTGGTCGATCTTCTTCGTGCTGGTAGCTGGCAAAGCCGAGGCTGATGGGGTCATGTCGACGTCTCCCGAGGTGTGGAACCACTTGGCCCATGGGTCGCTGCCGTTGAACCATGGGTCCTGGCTTGTGCTGGAAGGGGTGGATGAGGATCCCTGCTGGATGTGCTTTCTGGTGCGGCCGGTAGCGCAGATTGCATTGCCTGTTGGGGCTTTGGGTCCCACATCCTTGACCTTTGTGACAATGACTTCGTTGCCGATTCCCGGGAGGACCCATGCTGGGGGTTCGGCAGAAGCTCCGACTTCCCAGGCAGCTCCTTCAGCAGAGCCTCTGCAAGTCTGAAGTGGACGAGCGGGCCATTGCCACTGCTTGAGGAGATGGGCGACTCCGGTGCGTTGTACTCCATGAGGGAGAGGGAATAGTCGGTAAACGCCCGTGATCTTGACCTGGATGTAGTCGTGCCCTGGTCGGAGATATGCCCATGCGGTTTTCTCGTCCTGCTCACGAACCCGGATCCCATACTTGCCGCCGAGGCGTGTGATTGCGATGGCGTGGTCGCTGGTTCGGGATTTGTGCTTGGCTTCCTGACTGTTGGCACCTGGCAGCCAGATGACTGTGTGATTTGGGTCAGTGGACTTGGCGTCTTTGGAGCGCGGGTCAAAGTAGACACCGTTGGATCCAGAGGTGGCTTGCAGTAGCGGTGCTGCTGAAAGAGGGACCCGGATGTTGGCTTGGAAAAGGACACAGTGCTCGGTGTTGGATCTGCGGCCGTCAAGAGTGGCATAGGTCCAGGACCACACATCTTGGATGACCTGGTCGACAGCTTCATCAACGGCCGGGTGGAATCGAGGGCATTTGTTGTTGCAGGAGTCGTCGGTGCACTTCAGCAGGAGGGGGGTGTTCCGGATGACAGTTTTGATCGGTGCCTTGATGAAAAGGTTCCAGTCCTGTGGATATTCGTCCGCAAATACGGAGATGCGCAGTGTGGAGGTGTCGATCTCGTCCTCGATGGGTTCGGCAGTTTTGGTGACTCTTTTGACTGGGACGTCACCTATCTGGAGCAGGCTGCCTGTGAGGAGGATGGGCTCATTGGTGCCGGTGTAGACTGCGGGGAAGCGGATGGTCTCGGCCTGTTGGTGTGGAGGAAGTTCTGTTGTAGTGATCAGCGCAAGGGCTTCGGTGGAGATGCTCTGCGCGTCCTTGATGAAGTGCATGGCGTCTTCAACCGTGGTGATTGCGAATCCTCTTTTGTTGCAGCCTATGTCGGAGAGCGCGATCTGGGCGATCGAATTGTTCTCGTCATCGGCGAAGATGCCCTCGGGGATGACAAGTTGGTTGGGATCAACTTGGAGAGAAGGAGGTCGACCAGCGTGACCTTGTCCCTTGAGCTTTTTGCCTTTCGCGTTGGGGATGTTGGTGCCGAATTTGGAGTTGGCGCGTTCGGCAATGTGGTCCTGGAGTTCGTTGTAGTCGATCCATCTGAATCTGGAGGCCGGCCGAGAGGCTAGGGCTTTGAGCGCCTGCCAGTTGTTTTTGTCTCTGAGGGCTGCCTGGATGGGACCGATGCCAAGTTTGGCGATGGCTGCTTCAGCTCTGGATTGGACTGCTGCCTGTGGGACCCCCTTGGTGATGAGGACAGCCTTGAGTTCCTCGAGGTCCCCCAGCCCGCAGGCAGGGCCCTGAAGGGGTGGTTGCGAAAGCAAGGTGCCACTGCATGATGCGCTCATCAGGAAGATGGTCCCATAGGTCTAGGTGCCATCCGAAGTGGACAATTGCCAAAACACCACAATCGCCGTTGCTGGTGGTGGCAAAGATATGCTTGTGCTGGATGTGCGGAGAAGGCCAGCCCATCAGGGAGCAGATGTCCAAGGTGAGGTCGTGTGCAGCTTGTTGGTTGGGGGTGGCTGGAGCATCCCAGTAGGTGGCCAGGGTGTGGTCCTCTGATGGTTCAAGCGTGAGGAGCGTCCAGTGGTTGTTGTACGGGAAGATGATGACGGCCCGGTCGAACAGCTGCAGCTCATTGCGTGGGGTTGCACAGAGAAGTTCAAATGCTTGGACTGGTGTGATAATCCCCCAAGGGCGTGGGTCGATACACGCAGCGTAGTTGAGGATCAGCTGGAGGTTGTAGAGCACGGCCGTTTCATCCCAGGTGAGTTCAGCGGTCTCGGGGCCAGCCGCTCTAAGCGGGCGCTTGTCCTCAGACTCAGGGAAGGCAATTGCTTGCCGTTTCTTCTGCCTGTTGATTTGGCAGTGCAGCCGGTCTGTGGCACTAGCGATGAGCTCCTGGTCGGTTTGGATGTGGCCTGTAGGGTGGACATGTACTGCAGCTCCCCAACCTTGAAGTGCTGTTTCTGCGGCTTTGACCTGTGCGAGCGAGGCTGGGCTTTTGAGGGTGATCAAAACGTCCGGCTCTCCCTCCTCCTTGAGTGTCAGGGTGCGTGAGCGGAACATGGATGGGGTGATCCAGTGGAGCAGGCGATCCCGAAGGAGCTTGTGCTGGTATTCATGGACGTAGCCAAGTGCTGAGCGCCCTGGTCGCTTTGCGTGGATCTGGAAGATCCAGTTGGTCACATGTGCGAAGATCCAGACCGCCTGGAGAGGGGCTGCAATTTGGCCAACCAAGCAAAGGGCGTGACGTGCTGGGTGAGGTAGTGGTGCAGAAGGCATCCACGTGTTCAGGAATCCGGCTTCCTTGGGGTGGATGTAGCGCTTCTTGCCGGTGCTCATGGAGATGATGGCGAAGCCTCGGAGTCCGTGTCGTCGCAAACGGTGATCCGCCAGTGGTCCAGACCGACATCCACATGGGCAAGCCTGCAAGGCTGTACCCCATGAGTGGAGGGCCGTGGGAGCCGGCGCTGCCAGGTTGAGATGCCGAAGATCTTTGCCGTAGTCGAGGTTGCCATACTTGGCTTCCTCTTCTGGGGACCAGGCCAGGTTGTCCTCGTCTTCATCTGGCCAGATTGGCCACTCCTGGATGACGGAGCCAACATTCGGGAAAGGGTTGCTGGCAGGCCAAGGGAGCAAGCGGAAGGGGACGCGGTCGTCGTTGGGGATCATGATGCACCACCATCTCTTCCGGCGACTGGCCCATTGGTCTTGGAGGTCCAGGGTGGTTGCGTGGATCTGCCAGTTGCGTCCTCGGGCGTGTTCTTGAAGAAGTAGCATGACATCCGGGTGCTCCTTGACGTTGTGGACGCATTCCAGGATGAGGCCAACCGCTTGTAGTAGCCAGGAAGCCTTCAGGATTGACCGCAGGGTGTTTCCCCTTGAGTCTTGAAGCCCGCGTTGGTCACCTTGCGCGCTGTAGGGCTGACATGGGAAGCCCGCCGAGACTAGGCTTGGCCTGGCGTTACCGGCCGCATGGAGCTTCTGGAGAGCCTCCTGGTCTTCGATGTCAGCCTGGATGGTGTAGTGTCCCTGAAGGCGAAGCGCAGCACAAGCCAGGGCGCTGTGGCCCAGGCAGGCCACCGTCTTGATCCCAACGAAGTTGGCTCCTTGGGAGAAGCCCCAATTCCAGCGCATAGTTCCCTGAGCTGGAAGAAGTCCCCAAAAGTGGGCCTGGAGTGTCTGACCCATCCCGATCGAGCATCAAGAAGGAGCCGAGGTAGAGGTGCTGCAGCAGTGATCATCGCGTTGAAGAGCGTGATCAGTCCGATCTCCTGGATGGAGGGGCTCACCACGAAGCGCTGCTGAGGATTGATGCCCTCCATCAGCGTGCCCCCGAGGTCGGGCTCCTGCCTGATCACCTGGGCAACCAGACCCACCCTCATCGGAGGGGAGAGCCCGCACAGGGCCGGATCCATGGCACTCATCTCCCGAGACTCCGCCGTCAACCAGCCCTACCGCTGGGAGGTGCTCGGGCCAGGGCTTTTGGGAGTGCCATAAAAAAACAATTTGTATGTCATGACCATGGGAAAAAAAGGGCTAGTTTAATCATTCAGCCCCCTTGTGCCAGGTGTCCCCATTTTTCTAGTGGTCCGTTGCCTGTCCCGAGGGTAGCATGGAGCCCGAAGGAAACCGCCTAAGATTCATACCCGAAAGTTTCGTCAGCACCCTTGATCGATTGGAAACTCCATGGGAACAGTCAAACTCAAACAAGGCCCTGCCACCTTGGCCCATGACTCTTATTAAACTTATGGCCTCAGTTCCAGTCCTGGAATCTGAGCTCAATCATTTGGATGCCCTGTGATCGTAGGATTTCCTCGCCCAGAACCTCAAAACCCTCGCAACCACTCCTTCTTTTCCTCCAACGAAGGTTTACGGGGCCCGGCTGATGCCGGTTGACCCTCTGGGCCCAGCGGCACGTTGCCCTTCTTCACATCGGGCACCTCTTCATGAGCCACCTCCGCCAGTTGCGCCCACCTCGCTCCAGGAACCGCCGACGTTTTTCACTCCCTGGGCTTGCCCCCAACCTAACACATGGGCTGGTGTCCGTCTTGGACTTTTTTGATGCCCACCAGGGAAGGCTCCCACAAAACGACACTCTTCGTTGGCCATAGTGACTTAGTGTCCGTGCCTTTCGAAGGGGCAAAGAGGTCTTGGACGACACAAGCTCACGTGAAGCCAAAAGGACCCGAAATTACTAGGCTCAAAATATGTCCACTGGTGGTGGCCTGGCTTTGGGCAAGTGACGAATCAACATGCTCTTGGGGAAATGCTCATCAATTGAACGGCGCCCGAAACCCATCGACGTTTGGTTTGCTATAAAGCTGTACAAGGCGAAAATTCGAACGGGTCGGCCGTGCTCAGAAGCTGGGACTTTGACCGAACATGCTTGCCAACGTGGGAGAAAACTCAAGTCAAACTACCTATGTGGTCTTTTGCCAAGCGAGACCAGCTTTTGGACGGTGTTGAGGAAACTAGAAGCACGACAACCATGTTGGGGTGGCCATATTTCGGGGAAAAAACTTGCGACAGGAACATCTACAGAAAACAAGTCGCAAACACATCCTTTAGAATCCAAACCTTCTTGATGATTATCGGTACAACAACCTAATGCTTCTTGAACACGTTTCTACTAACGGCTTCTGCAAACCCCCCCCAAAACTGTTGGTTGCTTTCGGGGTCCCTTTGGGTCCACAAACAAGGACTTGCCCTTAACGAAGGCAGACCGCACCACAAATGGCAACAAGCACCAAGGCTCCACTAAACCGTGCAATTTCCTCAGTGCAGAATCTGAGGGGCACTGCCCCGAACGTCCAGGCTCGGACGATTTTCAATCTTGATAATTGGTGAAAAAGGCTAGCCTGGGAGCGTGAGTTAACATGATGGGGTCCCTGAACGCAAACACATTTCAAAGAACATGTGCTGAGGCTTTGCAAGTATCGTAATACATGTTGATGGGAGGTATCGGAACATCCTCCAAAATGGTTGGACATACAACTCCTTGGAAATGATGTCCACCATGTTCAAGCACTTAAATCTGGCTCGGCCGAGCATTGCTTCTCTTGGATTGCCTCACCCTCTGCGAATCCTCCATAGCATCGACCCTCCGGGTTAGGGGAGACCCTACAAAGAACACTCACCCTGTGTCCTCGGATGAGTTGGGTTGCTTCGCCCCACTTTTTGCGAGCAAGAAGCTCTTTAAAGTGCCCCAACCTCCATCTCAAGTGATTCTTGGGAAGAAATCCAACCTGCCTCGCCCCTAATTGATGCTTGGGTTTTGGGGTTTGTCAAAACTCCCCTGCCTAGGCCCTCAGCTTTTGCGGCAAAAAAATCGATTCGAGACTTCGAAGCCCGAAGTCGGCCTCTCGGCGTCGGGGTCCACATAGCACAGCTCATCGCACTGCTCAGGCTCAGTCACCGCCTCGGCTAACGTTGGAGGTGGAAACTTTCCATTGCCGGGGGGGGGGGGGTCTTTCTTTGAGGGTGCCATACCCCATGTTGGGGGAGGTGGCTTCTAGAGGGAAGCCAAAGGAAAGCCACCATTTTTCGGGTCCTGTCCAATTTTAAGACACACCCAATTCACAAAGTGGAAACAAGGATTCCCCAATTTGAGCTCATTCATGCTTTTTGAACAAACTGCCAACAGAGTAACCTGATGGGCTCGTTACAATTTGCGCAGACTGGATGTTTGCCCATCCCAAACTGCAATTTAGTGGTGGGCAAGTCATGCATGTCCAACCGAAGGGCTACACTTTTAAGCCTTACATTAGATGGCAATAGTCATAGTACCATTAGTTTCAGTCAAACAGACCTAGGAAGGCTCACCTGTCCGAAGGACCCGCAATTTAGACTCGGTTGCTTTCTGCTCCCCTGCTAAAAGTTCAACTTTTAGTGGTTTAATGGAAAACCCCTTAGTTGGCAAAAAGTTAAAGTCCTAACATCCAAGCAAAATGCACCAAAGTAGAAGTCAGCCTTTTGGGGCCCGAAATCAGAACATGGAACAACCAACAGGTTAAAGGTCGACTCGCTTTGAGCCCCGCCTTCCGGTGGACGTCGTAGCTGGTAAGGGCAGCGGCGCAGGCGGCTGCCACCTGACTCGCCCCATTGGGGGGGTTCTCTGAGAGGCAAGGAATGAGTTGGAATGACTCTGACAAAAAACTAACCAACTAGTGGTTTTCTTTAAGGTCCCCAGGTTTATTGCAAACACCCGAGGGAGGGGAAGCACAAATTCCATGTTACAGATGTGTCGAGTGTATCTGCATAAATCTATCATTCCACCAGACATGAACAACTTCCCCAATAAACGTGGGTGAGCTCGAAGTAAACCCCAGGACCTGTTAGTATAGGCGCGTGCGAGCGCACGGAGGCAGAAGGAGGGGAAGCAGCAAGAATATGTGCCACATGTCCGTTTTTGCAAGCGCATGCTGGGACATCAAGAACAAAGGCAAGAACGTGCAAAAGAAAACAAACAAGAACCTAAACCCGGAACCCTAAACCCTGAACCCTAAACCCTAAACCAAGAGGAACAAACAATGTAGCATCAAGCAACCCCTAATTGGTGGTTTGGTGGTTCAGGGATTCGAGCCGCAATCCAAACCACCAAGTGCGTAGTGGGAAGCGCTGACAAGAGGACAGTGAGATGTCCTAGTAATATGAGGAGAACAGAAAGCGGATAAACGGCAAGGAGAAGGAGCAAAGCCCAGGATCAAAAGGGAGCGGCCCCGGAGTTCCTTCTTGCTTGTGCCTTTTTCGTTTGAGCGTTTCCCGAGCCTTTCATTTCCCGCTGATCCCATATTTTTTTCCCCTCTGCCTTTTCCTGCTCTCCATCCGTTTTCCGTACGCTTTGACATTCCCCTTCCTTTCCAGCCCCATTGCCCAAAAAGCACTGGTCAGCCATGGCACCGTAAAAACCTGGCACACCAAAAAAAAAGGAACGCGAGGAAAGGAAGACGCTAGATAGGAATACAAGGCACAACCCTTCCATTTGTCCATTTGACTAGGCTTATTAGGCCGCCTGGAAAAAATGAACAGATGTCCAGTAGCGATAGATTCCCTTTAAACAAGGGAAAATCACTATTTCCGGTTTTAATAGAAAAAAACAAACAACACATCACTCCAGCAAATGGAAGAACAGCAGACACCCGAAGCGTTGGGACCCTCGGATTCCTTTCTGGTGCCAGCCTTGGACTCAGGAGAGTCCGAATCCCGCAGGCAAGCCCACTGCTCCTAAGGCGGTCGTGCACATAGGTAACCAAGTTCATGTTGACCCTGTACTAATCAACCCGGTGGTCTCAACCAGGGACTCCCACATCTTAATAAACCTGCCGGGGTTCACTTTGACCAGGGTTAAGTGGGCTTGAGTGACTTTAGTGGCACCGAACGCTCAAAACAAGTGAAGGGACCCAACTTCCTTGCTAATCGCAAGGGCTGATTCTCAGCTCGGCTTCTGACGAGCGTGATGCTTCCTGGATTCTGCGGGAACATTGCTGACATGACCCCCTAAAGAAGATAACTTCAATAAGGTTGGCGTTGCAACAATAGGCAATAAAACAAGTTGAAACGTGTGGTACCACGAACCTGCAACTCAGCCCCCAAACAACAAAGTTCAATGTCCTTGTCTTCTTCTTATTATTCTTCTTCTTTTTCTTCGTCTTACTCTTCTTCTTTCGTCTTCTGCTTCTTCTATTTCTTTTAGCTGCCGCTAAGAAACAACCTATTTAATTACCTGCCACGGCAAACCATCCAGCTCGACAGAAACCAGTTAAGACGGATCACCTCTGGCAAATGGACATCGGAGGGGGCTGGGCTCGGGCTGGTCCCGATCGGGCTGATTCACTCCTCGTTGACAAACCAGGGCCGTGCCGAGGACGCGTTTGCGGCAACTGGAATCACCGCCTGAGCCAAGGGCATGCTCGGAGACCCGCAACGGCTAGCAGAAACGAGCTCCGGCTTGCACCAAAAGACACTTGTCGCGCCCTAGATTCTAGGACCAGTTTGTTGGAATACTTTTCGTGTCGGCCAGTTTTTTTCTCGGAGGATGCCGGATGGCAGACTTCCAAGCTCTCCCCTTTTGGAGAAAACGGATGAAGGGTTCCTAGTGGTCCGGATCGCAACAGCTTGGAGGGTGGAGGGTGGGATGGAGGAGGGTGGATTTCCTCTTCAAGCATCACATTGGGTGCTCCCATGTTGCGCTGGTCGCATTTGATTTCTGAGGACCGCAATGTTTCTTGTCCCGACCCAGAAAGCCAGACAGGGTGGAAATCACAGCAGTGGCTAACCCCGAAAGACCCGCGCCAGGGTTGCTTAAGGGTTGCCACATCAACCCGATGGACCAAATTGGGAAGCTTTATGTGGGCTCTGGTGGTTTCAACCCCCCAAAATTGGTTCATTCCAGCTTTTTGAAGCACGGCGCTGCAACTTGTTTCGCGCCAAGTTGGGTTTGTCTCAAAACAGGTTAGCAACCGAAAGGGGCCCTGAAAAGGTTCCGTTTCACAGAGACATATCCCAAAACAATTGGCAGTTCAGACGGGTAGGCTTCAAAGGGAACAGACCAAAAGGAAGACTGGCCTCATTATCTTGCCATGATCAAAGTCACTCCCTAAATAGTGGGTTAAAGGGAAGCAACCACATTTTCCATTTTCTGACCTTGATAACCCCCAGAAACAGTCCAAATAATCACCGAAAGGAAAATCTTCTCAACTTCGCCGGAGCCACGGCCCCGCGCTCCCTCGCGGCATTGAGCACGTCGGCCGCGTCGCTTTCGGCACCGGGAAAGGCGAGGAAGATGTCGCCCAGCTCGGCCATCAGCGCGGCACACTCCTGGGTTGGCAGCCACCCCAACCCCACCCCACCCAACCCCACCCCAACCCCACCCCAACCCCACTTTGTGCGAGCCTGCGCAGTCGAAGTGACATGAACATCTTACAAGGAATCTGTGTGCGAGCCTGCCCAGCCGAAAAGCGACGTCCTAAGCGAGCACCCTGATCTATCCCAGCCACACTCTGTGGCGGCACCAGGCGGCCATCTATCCCAGAGTCGCCGTTGATGGCAGAGCCAACCCAACCGCACCCTCACCAAACCCACCCCAACCCCTACCCCGACCCAAACTCCAACCCCCGCCCCGACCCCACCCCGGCAACCCCACCCCATCATGGGTCAGCTTTTCGTTTGCTCCCAATCGAAGAGGTCGTAAACATGCTCCCCCCCCCCCCGGCAAAAAAAAAAAACTGGCTCAAGCACAGTTGCTTAAACAATAATATCCTAGTGGTTTGCCTTTACAGAAGACCTAGGGGTTGGCTGCTTTTCACAACTTGTGCCTCCAAACCTCGCTCTTTGCCCCCCTAACCGTCAAGGGGTGCTTCGACCATGGCATGGCAACCGCTGTTGTTCTGGTGGAGGATTCTCTTGTGAAATGTCTTGATCCCCGTGGATCCCAGGCAAGCCACTATGGCAGGTAACCAGCCAATGTCCTTTTAGTCTTCACAGGATTCGCCTTGGATACCTACTGTGTCTGGAACCCTTACCCCCAAACACTACCTTAACAGTTACGACAAATTGGACCGTGTTAGTGGTTGATCCAAACTTCAAATCCAGTGTTGGTGGAGGGAATCACACATGGCAGTCCCACATTTAGTGGCTCTCCTTTTGACTTCCCTTTGAACCAACCGCAAAACAGGTACCAACTCCCAAAACACAGACTCATACTCTCAAAAATCATGGGAATCTCGGACTTCACCACCCTAAAAATGGACACTTCCGGTCTTCCTGTTCTCTTCGCTTTTAAATCCCGCAACCCATCATTTTGCGCGCACACACCCATTTTACGAGCCCCCCGTCAATCCCCCCCGCGCCCTCCGGCAACCCCGCATCGAGGCGCGGGGGCGTCGGCACATACCGCCAGGTCAGTGCCCGGAAGGCCACTGCGATCCCAAGAGGCGATGAGGTGGTAGACCTCCCGCGGCGACTTGAGCGACTTCTTCGCGGCACTCGACTCGATCCGCCGATCGGTTCGGATTGGAGGACCGAAATGTCCAAGGGATCGGTAAGGACCCGAGTGCGTTGGGGGCTGACGGGGTGACGCCCGTCTTTGTTGATGCGTTGATATTGCTTATTGGGGGGGGGCAAAGGGGTATAGTCGATGGATTCACTCCTGGTTTTGCGGGTAACCGAGGAGTTTTCCTGCATTTAAACACCACAAGTTGAAATATCAAGGGATTCCGAGCCCCGTTCCAGTTGGGCAAGTGAGGTTTTGGAGCTGGTACCAAATGGTTGGGCTTGAAAGGGAGTTCAAGCGGTGTGCTATGTTGACACATACCCATTTAAATAGTTGCTCTGAAAAAGAAAGGGGCACCCTGCATGGTCAAACATCTGGGTGAGTCTACTTAGACTGCACACTAAGTGGGTTGAACATCCAAGCTAGGGTGTTGGATGACCTGAGCCCCTGCAGAAGGTGACAACTTGTTGCTGGTTAAAGGGAAAATGAAGCAAGGCCGAAAAACAGAAAGAGATAAAAACCGAAGCCGATATTGCCCTATGTTGCAACCACCTTCTTTTCATATATTTGGCTTTTTAGGGTTCTTGGCTCCAAAGACACACACTCGAAGTGGTAAACACAGCACGGCACCCCACCAAACAAAGTTGGGTTGACTTTGACATTTCCGTGTGAATTATAGTTGAGGCGTACCATGGTTGAGCTTGGTTGAACCCACCAACATTAAACAGGGTTTTGAGTAAAACATGTAAAACGCCAAATCCAACTTGCTCGCTGGTAAGGGACAAAGCCAGGGTGCACTAAAAAATCATACTCATGATTCTGCTTTATATTTGCCCCAAACATAAGTTCAGTCTTGGAGGAGACACCAGGCTAGGGCTTCTACCCCCAACAAACGGCCTAGGCTTTGGCCCCATCCCACGGAAGAAAAATCCAAATTCAAAGAACCGCCTCCCCGTGGCAGCTGTTGGCAAGTCCCTGGGCCGACTCCTGGCCCAAGGTCAACCACACCGCCTGGCGAGTCCGCTCGCGGACGGCTTGCGGACGGCTCGCGGGGGATGAGGCCGGCCCTTCGAAAGCAACGAACACTTGGCCCACAAGGACAAGGTCTGAGCAAACCGGAGAAGGTCTACAAGGGTCCGCGGTTTTCTACAAACTCGACCAGGCCCCACCCATCAAGTTGCATCTACCACCCTTCGACTCTAAGGATTGCACCTAGAATTGCTGGTCTATCAGAAGAGCGGACGTCTGGACGCAAACTTCGCACAGGGGCGGACAAATCCTCGCACGCTTGCGGGGGGGATGTGCGATGTGAACTGAGTTGCAGCACTAGTTGTCAAACTGGCTGTCAATACAGTTTGTGGTTTCACTCCATTTCAGAAGGTATTTGGTGGTCGAAGGCGCTATATTCACTGTATACTTCAGCCTCACCAACAATAATCAACTATACACAAAGCTTCTTTGCTTGGACGGCAAGACATGGGTCTTGAACCTACTGCCTGACAGAAGAACCCCCAACAGGAATCAGCCTGGGAACATGGTCCTTCCACCCGAAACCTGGTCGAATTTCTCACTTGTTTTTCAATGTGAGAGGTTTGTTCCTGCATAACATGCTTATTGAGGTCAACATGGTCAACACGGGCTTTACTGTAACCAGTATGAAACAAGGTCGCAGAACCAGCTACTACAATAGCCAATGGGGGGTTGTGAGTACTACTCTCGAAAGAAAGGTTTGGATGTGTTTTTTTATTCTTCTGGAAGTTACATAAGTTACATGTTCTTCCCCCCCTGTTGGTCCTTTTTTAGTCATCTTCTGTTGCTTCTAATAATGTTGACCCAGGATTTATAAACCCGTCCCATTATTAGGGGGGGGTGTTCCCTCCAAAAGTGATGAATCCCCACTAAAAGGGGACACCCCAACATTAATCAGCCAGGGGTTTGTTAATCCAAAGTTTACATTATCCCACAGGGGTGGTGTCTTTGGCTCTGCGCCGCGGATGTTCGGATCGCCTCCAGCGCCGCGCACTGCGAAGCCACCGCTTGAGCGTGCCGCGAGGCGTCTCCCAAAACGCCCACGCAGAGTCCTCGGCTCCGTCGGGCCGAAAGGTCCGCATCTCGAAGGTCCGGGTGATGTGAATGTCGCCGGAACATCGGAGCAGATATGTCCATGAAATCAGACACCCCTCGAGGGTTCAGGCTTGTTCCCCCAGCGAATGCTTCACCCGTGGCTGCAGGGAGTTTCCCCTGCACCAACAGAGTCCAAAGAAGAGGCGACTCAGCTGGGTGTGAATTCAAAATAGGATGTGGAACCCCTGCAGAATGGGTATGGCTTTCCCATTGATTTTCCTTGGAACATGCCCAAAAGGGCTTCCCGTGAAACACCAAAATACACCCCAGACAAGGGACACCAAACGGAAACCACCTTTTTCGTAGTATGGCAACCAACGGCATCACCAGTCTCTTGGTTGCTGTTGACCCCCCTGCAAAAAGTGAATAACTTTTTAGGGGTTTGGTGGAAAACCCAAAACCCAACTTGATTTCAACCAAAATGTTAACGTCTAAAGATCCAACCCAATAATGTACCCCTAGAAAAGGGACACCAAACGGGATGTGGAGACCCGACGTCACCGGTCTATGGGTCCGTGCCAAAGGGCCATCACCCAGCGTGGCCCTCAACTCCGCAGCTCGCTCATCCAGCTTCTCCTTCGCCGTGGGGGAAAAGGTCTGCCGGATGGCCTCAACCGAGCGCTCGTGCCATCGAAAAACCGAGCGCTCGCGCCGGTCTCGATGCCGAGCTCGATGCCGCCGGTTGAGACACGGTGCCTTTCCGTGCAAGGTGTGTGTCTTTACTCAAAGCCGAATGTTCAATGCCTTTTGGAGGGCTTCCAGGTTTCCTGTAGTGGATGGCTTCTTTATAAACCCGCAGGGGTGTTTCTTCAATGCCTTCTGGAGGGCTTCCAATGGGTTTCCTGTGGTGGATTTATATGCGCGCCCTTGCGGGTTGATTTTGAAGAGGTCTGGGTCAACGTGGTTGACATGGAGAGGCCTGAATAAAGCACCCGTTTCAGCCGTCCAGTGACGCTTGCTGCTACCAACATGGTTCGAAAGGTTTGAGTCATTGAGGGATTACCATGATCCCTAGTAAACCCTCGTAGAACCACCTGCTCAAGCGGCCGCTGCTCAAATGTTCAAGACACCCTCACTGTGGAAAGCTCCAAAACTGGAACCTTGGAATACCTCCTGGCCGGCTTGGGGGCACCCGACTTAGGCTTAAAAGATGGGACCAAAGGAAACCTATGTTAGGAAACAAACCTCCAAGGAGCCCAGAAACCGAAGCCAAACCATACCCTGTGGGACCGTGGGCTGGTTTGACTTGACTTAAGAAAACAAAGCCTTTGGGCTTGGACAAAAAAAATGGCGTTCCCACTGGAAGCGGGTTCAATAAATTTGTTCGAAGTATCTGAACGTTGGGGTTTGTTCAAGCTCGCGGTCAACCACTGGAAGTCAGTCAGCCTTTGAAGCTCTGGGTTCTTTGACTCAGACAAAGAACCAATCAACTTCCACAAACATTTCACGCAAACACAAGTTTGGGTTTGTGTCCAGGTGGAAACCTTTAAAGTTGGACCCTCTTTACTGTGCCCCCCCTGAACAGTGAAACCAGTTAGCGCCAGCCTCTTTAGTGAAAATCCTGGGGGTCTGGGTGGGACTTGGACTTGCTAGTACTTACTGTAGTATTGCTAGGACACAATTTAGTATTGCCAAGGCTGACTCTCAGATTCCCAGTACTTACTGTAGTATTGCTAGGACAAAATTTAGTATTGCCAAGGCTGACTCTCAGATTCCCAGTACATACTGTAGTATTGCTAGGACACAATTTAGTATTGCCAAGGCTGACTCTTAGATTCCCAGTACTTGCTGTAGTATTGCTAGGACAAAATTTAGTATTGCCAAGGCTGACTCTCAGATTCCCAGTACTTACTGTAGTATTGCTAGGACAAAATTTAGTATTGCCAAGGCTGACTCTCAGATTCCCAGTACTTACTGTAGTATTGCTAGGACAACATTTAGTATTGCCAAGGCTGACTCTCAGATTCCCAGTACTTACTGTAGTATTGCTAGGACAAAATTTAGTATTGCCAAGGCTGACTCTTAGATTCCCAGTACTTACTGTAGTATTGCTAGGACACAATTTAGTATTGCCAAGGCTGACTCTCAGATTCCCAGTACTTACTGTAGTATTGCTAGGACACAATTTAGTATTGCCAAGGCTGACTCTCAGATTCGCAGTACATACTGTAGTATTGCTAGGACACAACCAAGGCTGACTCTCAGATTCCCAGTACTTACTGTAGTATTGCTAGGACACAATTTAGTATTGCCAAGGCTGACTCTCAGATTCCCAGTACTTACTGTAGTATTGCTAGGACAAAATTTAGTATTGCCAAGGCTGACTCTCAGATTCCCAGTACTTACTGTAGTATTGCTCGGACAAAATTTAGTATTGCCAAGGCTGACTCTCAGATTCCCAGTACTTACTGTACTATTGCTAGGACAAAATTTAGTATTCAGCCAAGTAGCTGACTTTAGTATTGCCAAGGCTGACTCTCAGATTCCCAGTACTTACTGTAGTATTGCTCGGACAAAATTTAGTATTGCCAAGGCTGACTCTCAGATTCCCAGTACTTACTGTAGTAGTATTGCCAAGGCTGACTCTCAGATTCCCAGTACTTACTGTAGTATTGCTACAAAATTTAGTATTGCCAAGGCTGACTCTCAGATTCCCAGTACTTACTGTAGTATTGCTAGGACAAAATTTAGTATTGCCAAGGCTGACTCTCAGATTCCCAGTACTTACTGTAGTATTGCTAGGACAAAATTTAGTATTGCCAAGGCTGACTCTCA